GTAAGAAGAATATTTTCTAACTGAAATGTAGATTTCATGTTTAAATTTTAACATAGTACTAAGCAAAATGTTAGTAGACAGAACTTCAAGAACCACTATACGCTTACTAACAATTACACTGGCAAGTTGAGGCAGCCCTTAGGACTGCCCCTGAGCAACAGGCCGAAAGCTGTCCCAGCCTATGTCACAGGATCACCTAAATCTTTCTAAAAGTAGAATATAAATGTATTAACACAATAACTAAGAAAATAACATGAAGGCTATGTTAACCAAGTTCAATGAAAATATTTCAAATTGTATATGCAAACACTACACTGTACCCCATGATTGCATTAATGTACACAGATTAAAACAAAAAGAATGTGGTTGCTGAAATGTGTCAGGAGAAAGAAAACCGCTCTTGGCGTCACATGTGGGGTCAGGGCTCCGTTCACCCGGGGCTTCGCGTAGCCGAGAGCTGCGTGTGGCTCTTCACGAGGCAGCGCCCTCTAGAGGCCTGACTTTGAAAGACTAAGGATGAAAAGAACCTTGAACCCACATTCCCTTATAAACCAAGGCCCAATGACCCTGAAGGAGAAGAGGGCCTTTATCCATGCACCTGAATCAGAGGCTGAACCTTCTGCACTGGGTATGTTTCACTATTTCACGTGGAAAATGCCAAGGGGAGGTGGTGATGTAAGGGTATTAGATATTTTTTAAAGTAAAGCAAAAATAAAACGATATTTCTGCATGGAAGGAGAAATAGTTAAAATTTGGGTATTTTGAGGTTGGACAACCATGGCTGTATCTTTGATCTTTACCATAAGGAACAAGGAAAAGGGCACAAGAAAACTTAAACTAAGAAAGCTAAAGTTTCCTAGGCAGCAAGATTGTCATCTTACTCTTGGCTATCCCACCAATAACGTGTTATATATCACCCGGGACCAGTCTGAGATTCCTTGGAGTGCAGCACTTTCCTCTGCCCTAAAATATGGGAGATAATCTAAGATACTCACACACACACACACACACAAATTTCCCTTAGATCTTCAAAATATCTCCTTCCTTCACATCTCTGATCAAATGTTAATTCCCTCAATTTTCTTGACCACCCTACATAAGATAGTAACTTCCAAACCATTCACCAGCTTTCTACTCTTTTAATTTTCTTCACAAACCTTGTCTCTGCCATGAAATTGTTTGTAATTTACTTATTTTTGCAATTATTCCTGCTAGAAAAAGGTCTAGGAGGAGTCTTCAAATGAACCCATGCCTAGAGCAATGATTAGTATGTACAGTGCTCAATATCTGATGGAATAAATTAAAATTAGTTGTTAAGGGACTTGACAATACCAAGGTATCTCATACAAACAGGAAAGAACATTTCAGGTTGAGGTTGTGATGTTGGCCAATCCTGTATGAAAGACTGAAAGGTTACAGCCACCTACAGATGACATTTTTCCCCCTATACATAAGCACCCTTCAGTATCACACCTTAGCAGCCATGGTTTTGTTCTTCCATATAAATCTCTTCTATATGATAATAACATGTTTGTATTTGCCTATAAAGATATTGCTGAGCACACATGACCCATATTTGAAATTCTTTCCAAAGCTTCAGGTTATGATAGGATAAATTATTCCCCAAAGGATTAATTTTATCCATTAGTGTACTCAGGAGGGAGAAAGGGGAATGGAGATATATTTGCAGTAAGTACAGCCTTCATTTTTGAGTGGTTCCATCTTTTTCCTCTTGTTTCCTACACTCACTGCTCAATTTTTTTTCCTCTCACTTATTCTCCATCTTCCCCCTCCCCCATGGTCTTTTTGGCACCATTTTTCTCTTTTCTCATTCTCCATACTTCTGCTAATCTTGGCAGCTAAACCAACAGATCCTATGCTGATTTCAGAAGAACCTTGCATGGCCTGGAGTACTGACTACCCACGCACAGTCCTTCCTGACGCGGGAGTGTGGAAGCTGCCGATGTAGACGGCTTAGCAAACGCACAGCGCAGCTGCCGGGAAAGTGCTCGCGTCCTTGCTCGTGAAACTTCTGAGCCACTTCTTCATTCTTCCCACGACTACCACAGAACTTGCCGGCATCTTTTGGCAATCAATCCTAGAATCACAGGGTTTTAGAACTAGACAGGGCCTCAGAGATCACCTCTCCCAATACTCTCAATTTTACAAATGCGGAAATGGAGGCCAAGAGAGGTTAAGTGACTTGCCAGGGTCACCAAATTAACAAGTTGACAGGATGTAGAGACCCAGACTTCAGATTACTAGATCAGGCCCCCGAAAAAGGAGCGTTGGAAAAGTCCGAGAAATGTTCTTACAGGTCACGTCATCAAAAATGAAGGAAAGGACGACTGATCTAGAAGTTTGGGGGATGAACACTGACTAATACTTCAGGCATAAATGAGTCTGCTCCCTAAGATATTGTCAGATACCGGGTTGTTTTTGTTTGATTTTAAAGCAAATAAGCATTTGATAGTGAAGAGGAAAAATAGGCCAGAGCCTCACACTGTTAGAGGTTTTCTTTTTAACTCTTACAGCCATATATTTTCTCATCTTTAATAGTTTTCAGTGTAATATCGTATACACCTAGTGACTATTCCGTTCCCCTGACCTCTAGCCTATGCCTCTCAGTAATCGAAAGCAGCTGATTTTAATGTGGCGCTGCCTTAGTGCAAGGGAGGTTAAGGCTGCGTTTCTGTGCAATCAGGTTCAGATTGGCTCCAACGGGAGAAAAATCCATACATATGTCGAAAAGATCTAAAAAAGGTCTGTATTCCCAACCTGATTACGACTTAACATTTTTGCATGGTTTGTCAAACCAGGTCACTGAAATCAAATCAAGATGTACGAAGGGATAAAGCGGTTTTCTTCCCCATTCTTCCATTAATCACCGTGACCTACTGAAGAAAGAGCAGCTCCCTCTCACCTGAGGCGAGGTGGGAGACTCTACCAGAAGTTACGCCAATTTTTATCAATTGGTGCTCAAGTTACAAAACTCATTTTCTAGTTCGCATTTCTTCGTAAACAGAAGTTATTTTATGGTGGAATAATTTGGCGTTTCTGTCAACTTTACATTTTAATTTCTTTTGAACAATAAAAAGTGTCCATATACCTTTGAAAGCCTACTTAATTTAGAAGCAATATAAAAATGGATTTTATTATACTAAAAATGTAGATGCCGATTAGAGCAAGAGCTAGTCTTTCTTCATAAACTTTGGTAAAACCTAAATATGAATTAAATCTATTTGTATTAGGTTTATAATAATAATGATAAATATGATAAGCCAGAGTCTACTACTGGTTTACTTGTCAAGAAGAAGATATTAGTAGATTATACATAAGCATTTGTTCTGGCATCATTTAAATTGCTGACAGTCTCAGGTTATATTCCCTTAAGACAGGGTACTCTTGCTGGTAGCATAAAAAATACGAATGCAATAAACATGGTCAACAATGTAGCTGTTACCTAGAAAATTCTCAAGCGAGACTGGGGCTAGGTCAAAATACAGTACTGAAAGGGAGGGAAATGTGTGGGCTCTTGTTACACATCAGCACGTTTGTTATAGGAGCATTTTGAGTTTAATTTTTGCTATTAACATAAACCACAATTGGGGGACCATGTTGCTGGAAGAGGAACGGGGGAGGGGCTACTTATATAAACAATATACAACAAAGGAAGTCTTTATTTTCAATACCTGAATACATCAGGTTTGTTTTTAGGCAGAAGGTTGCAGGTTAAATGCTCTCAGCTATCCAAGAAGCGGCTTATTAGTTTTGTAAGAAAATATTTTCTTATATGTTGACCAAAAAATACCCACTTTAAGTGAACAAAACCATCCTTGTTAGTGAAAAGCAGACCCCAAAAAACGTTGTTTCATAGACCCAGTTAGGAAAAGCAAAACTAATTCAAGAGGAAAAGCCGTTTTCCCAATCGTAGCTTCTGAATCTGGATCTAATAGTTCTCAGAGGCTGACTGGAGTCTTCAAGTCTTAAAAGTTTGTCTTTCTTCATGGATCATAGACATTCTCTATGAGGCAGCATAAGATGGATATACACCCATCTTAAGCAGATAGATATTCTCGTTCTGGGCTATGGTCATAAAGCTGAAAAACTACACACTAACAGAAAGAATGAAGACAAAAAAACTTAGGATTATTTTATACGGCACTTTTCCAAATACAATTTTTTCCCTTTTTTGCATTTTCTATTTTGTGCGCTCGAAAATCCCAACCTTCACTGCGGCAATGAGAATCCATTGGTGATACGACAAATGGTAACACGTGATTACCGCTTGAAGTGGCACAGTGACAGTGCTAAGAATTGCATTTCAAAGTACTAATTCAGTTTCCGCCAGCACCTTAGCTATGCACTCTTCCTCTAATCCTGTTATTATGGAATAATTACTGCAAATCAGCACAATTACGACAAAGACTTGAATAAACACACACATACCAGTAGCTGTTTTCTGCAAATTATTATCAAAACAAAGAGAAATGGCTAATTGTGGTAACATTGAGACAACGTTTATTCCCCCCAGTGTTTGGGCAAGTTTATTTTAAGTTGTCATCTTCAACTAGTAAGGACCAGATGATTTCACAGATTCCATAAACCTTTCTAATCTAAACTCTTCTCAACTGAAAGTTGGCTGCGTCCCCGACAGCAACATCTGCAAAGGCCTGATTTCATAAGAACCCGTTTTTATGATACATTTGCAAAAATAAAAAACAGAAAACCCACACTTTTAGAAATGTCATTTTATAAAGCTCATCTCTCATGTATTCTTTAAATTATTTTTAAGGTATCATGAAAGTAAATGAAATAGTCACTCTAGATTCTTCACAACATAAGCCTTTCTTGCTAAATAAGTGCAACAGAATTTTATCCTCAACAAAATTATCATCAGCTTTTCTTCACAAATACTTTTTATTGGAAAAGAGGGGAGGGAGGGAGGGGAAGAAATCAGAATGCACACAGCGCACGGCAGTGATTGCATTCAAACTTACCTCCCGGACAGTGCCTCATGGTCATCTTACATCTCCTGGATTCGGCAATGGTTGGACATGGTATTGTGTCTTTTGCTGGCTTTTTAACAATTTGCCGTGTTCTGGTTTCCAGACCCCATTTAAATCCACATGTGCGATTATTTCTGCTACAAGTTCCCCATTCGCTCCAATGACCAACTTCGCATCCTTCTAATAAAGATTAAAAAAATAAATAAAAACACAAGCACAAATAACAATTTGGTCACCATTGGCTCCACTATCATCAGGTTTATATAGCAGTATTTCTCCATGACCCCTACCCTTAAATATGAAAAGGCAGTACACCTATGGAGCATATGACAAGGATATAAGTCAACTCCGTGTAGAACATAGATGTTTTGGCACAATAATCAAGTACATGAGGTGAAAGCTATGTTGACTGGTTTAATGTAACCATGTCAGATTGTATAAAAAAAAAAAAATCAGCACATCGTACCCCACATATGCATGAACGTATTCATGGCCTATATGTATATGACTTAATAAAAAAAAAGAAAGGTGGTACAGCTCACAAAGACCTACACTTGACTTATGGGGATTTTAATTATTTTTTTTCTAAAGTTTTTGTATTAAATCATAGCTGTGTATATTAATGGAATCATGGGGTACAGTGATTCATAGACATTTTGAAATACTCTCATCAAATTGATTAAAGTAGCCTTCATGTCATTTTCTTAGGAGGATTTTAAGTCTTTCAAGCATGAGACGCTTATATCTACACCAAGCAAATGTCACATGAGTAATTAAAAAACTTACTTTCCATTTGTCTTAATTCATTTTTTTTGAAGGATGCTAACTGGTGAGCTCTAATGACACTGAAATGTATAATCGTGAAGAGTTCAAAGGTAAAGACAAACTAGGAAGCACTATTTCATACCAGGACAGAAGGCAACACTTTACAGGTTCTCTGAATATCTCCCTAATCTGAATTTTAAAAGGTTGCAAATCCTTGGTGAAAAAAATGGGGAGCTTGTTTTGTGTTTTCTGATACCATGTTGTGAGCTACTTTATTGCTGTTACAATGGAATTTACTACTCTATTCTTTCAACACCTGTCTGAAAACCACAGTTCAGTCTATCTTCTTCCCTGCATCAGTGTTGTACCTTCCTACAGTTAGAAAAGTAAACCAACATGACCACAGATTTGAAAATGTACGCTTTTCCTGGATATGGAAAGGGTTCATCAGCCCCTTTGTTAAGTTCATAACAGTGGAAAATTAGGCTCTGCCCTCCACCCCCTGGGCAAGTAGAGGAGAGAAGAGGAGGACAAAGAAGGGCCAAGTTCAATCTCCTCATCAACTTCTCCCTCAAAAAACACTCTTCACACTACAGGAGGGAGACGCAGGCCCAGAGTCCACATACAATTACTACTTCAGCTTTCTACCCTTTAGCAGGCATCAATCACAGCTATTCTTAGATTTTTCAAAGCCATTTCCTATTTTTATTCAGAGGAGCAGATAGGACTCTATTTGTGTTTACAGTAAAGGATTTCACCAGTGTTTCCACTGTTCATTTGAAATAGGGGCACATCTTGTCTCTTAAAAGAAAATTTTACATGCTTTTAAATATGCTCCTCCACTGACTGTCTCAAAAAAATAAAAATAATGCCTGTGGCTCAAAGGAGTAGGACGCCGGCCCCATATACTGGAGGTGGTGGGTTCAAACCCAGCCCTGGTCAAAAATTGCAAAAAAAAAAAAAAAA